GCTCCACCCCACGCAGCCGGTCGTGGAGTTTTTCACGTCCGCCCCAGCTCGCTTCCTCGGCCGAGCAGGCCTGGGGGGAGGACGGGCACCGCAGCTTTTTGGCCAGCGGACAGTTAAACGCAGCGCCTGGCCCTGTGCTGTTTGTGACACCCTGGGAATGTGTCCTGGCAGCGCCAAGGCTGGTGCTGGCCTTCGGGCCGGCCGGGGGGGCGGCCGGAGGGACGTGGCCGCGCCGGCGGGAGGAGGTGGGCGAAAACCCCCGGGCTGCCCGAGGGTCTGCACCCTGCTTGGAAGGTGCTTTTGGAAGCAGCTGCCTCAAAACCTGCACCATCATCAGAGGGAGCTTGCTCTGCACTCATTTTTTGCTGTATAAAATAGTGCAGGAAAGCTTCAGGTGGTAATAGTAACAGAGGATGCAAAGCTCAGCTGGCCTGGGGCCTCGTGCATATATATATATATACACACACACACACACACATGCTCTCTATAATTCCTTATATTCAAACGGTATTTACTGATTTCAGCGTGTAGATCCCTCTCCGGTTAAACCTAAGATGGATTAATAGTCAAAATTAGGGATTTAAGTTGCACTAGACACGTCTAACACTGCGGTTGTGACTCCGCCGAGCAGGCGTGAGAGCTGTTGGGTTTCTGAGCCCTGGTTTGGCATTTTGGACGGTGCCCCGTAGTTGTTGTCCAGCGTTGAAAATGGTCGTCTGCAGCCTGTTTTGCAGGAAATGCAAAGAAATTCAGTGGCTTGGCCGGGATTGTGTGGAAAGGTGTGAGTGGGGCCAAGAATTAAACTTTTTTTTTTTTTTTTTATGCTTGGTGTATTAGCTAATGTAGAAATTAAGAAATGAAAGGCCAATGAATAAACCACCTTGAAACCTGTTAGCAGTGCCAGTATGCAGTGTGCTTGCCTTCATCTTCCTGCAGTTACCTTTCTTGTCTTGTCTTTCCTGTTCTTTAATCTTTGCATTGCAGCTTGCTCGGATTGGGAAGGCTCCCTCCCCTCAGGGCACAGGAAGCTTCTGCCATCCTAAAAATGCTATTGCCAGATCTTTGCACCCGACGGCTGGGCATGGATTGCTGCTGAATTACAGCTGGCTCCGTAGCGGATCAGAAGAAACTCATTTTCAAAGCACAACAGCTCCCCTGAAGAGCTTAGGGACGAAAGAGGGAAATGCAAAATAGGCAGAATATGGGAATGGGCAGAGCAGCAAGCTTACCAAAGGAATTAATTTTGCTGGATCGTGTCAAAGAAGTGCTTTCACTGATGTTGTAACGGGGGTTAAACTGGACCCCTGTGGTTACAGACTGCTTAATAGTTGCCTCTGTGCTGGTTGGAGAAGCTTGGTGGTGTGGGATTCAAGCGTTAACCGCGTCGTGCTGCGAAAACACGGTGCTGCCCGGGGTCCGCTCCCCGGTGCGGTGCCCTGTGCCACAGCCCGGTCCCCTCCCCTGCTGCAACCTTGTTTGCAACTTCTTTGGAGTGGAATCTCCTCGTCTGAAGGCTGGGGAAGCGTGAAAGCTCTTGCTCCTTGGTTCACATCCCTGCTCCTGGGGGAGTTTCCATGCGTCCCCCAAGGACTGCTGGAAAATGGAGAGCTTGTGGATGAGTGCTCGGAGCGATGCCCCCCAGCCTGGGGCACAGGGAGTTGAGCTAAAATGTTTGCTTTCTTCCTCATTACTTGTTTTGGCCCCATAAACTGTGTGTTTTGCTGGCCAGGGCCGGTTGCTCCATGGTTAGGGCATTTTCTGGGAAGGTGGGAAGCTCAAAGCTGCAGCTTCATCGGCAGCTGAGCCAACATCACAACTCCTGGTGTGGGAGAGGAGGAGAGGGATGCTCCTGTCTTCCCCTGCTGCCGGCCCTGCGGTCCTGCCTGTCCCTGGGACCCTTCAGGATCAATTCCTGCAGGTTCAGCTGCTTTGTGGAGAGGACCAGCCTTGTGCTGGCAGAGCGTGAGCGTGGTGGCAAGGAGAAGAGAGACCTCCTCGCCTGGGAAAGGGCGAGCTGCGCCTGGCGCAGGGCTGGAGCTTCAGCCCCGAGATGAAACCGGGCTCGTTCTTTGGAAGCGGACGCTTCCAGTTGAGGAGGTGATGCCAGGATGTCCTCTTCCCAGCACTGTCTTGTTTTTTTTTCTGGTGAAGGCTGTGGCTTTGATGAGCCCCTGTCATCCCCATGGATCTCAGGATGGAGCCCAGCTGGGACCGTGGTGCCTGGGAACCCTGCAGAGAAACGGGGAGCTGCAGGCAGACGGCACTCACTGCGGAGTTGTTTTATGGGCTTGTATTTGATTTGCCCAAATCACCACAGAGCTAAATTCAGTATGGGATGGAAGCTGGGGATGCAGTTAAGCTTTGGATGCAGAAGAGGGATTAAATAAGCGTTTTAACCGTGCTGGGCTCTGGAGTTATTGCTAGCTCTTCCCCTGGCACGGTGTAGATGTGAGAGGTGCTTCTGGGATGGCATTTCAGCTTCTGCTCTGCCTGTCTTGGTTGCTGCCGGTGGAAGTTGCTGCTGAAAGGGGTAGGAATCCTGGGCGCTTGCATCGTGTCGGATGAACGTTCGCAGCCTGGTTGAAACGGAAAAACTCAGTCGCGCAAAGGAACAGGAGGGCACGAGGCAGCTGCTCATGAGCACTCGGGTGCGTGGTTTGATGGAGGTATTAAATACCTTTGAATTAAGGAAAAAATGCCAAATTTAGCAGTACTGGCTCTAAGAGCCAGTCAGTTTTCCCTGGCTGCTTAATCACCGCTTGCACGTTGTCATCCCAGGAGAGCAATGCTTTCACCTCATAATTAAGCAGTCCAAGCTAGTTTCCATTTGTCAAACAATTAATAAACGCATCATCCCCTTGAAGTATCACTGTGCTCATTTAGAGCCAGGGGATTATTTTATATAAATCCTGGAGTCTGAGCTGGTATTTCTCACCATCAGGACTTTTTTTTTTGCTTCAGTTGCAGAAATGTGGACCCTGGGTGGGAGCGGGAGGGGAAGCGGCTTTCCAGCAGCTTTCCGCTGGGATGCTTGGACGTGTGGGCTGGCTCTGGCATCTTGTGCATTGAGATTTAAAAATACAGGGTGCTATGGCTCTATCTGCCAGTCCTGACATTCCTGTTGTGCAGTAAGTGACCCCCTTGTTCCCCCCCAAACAAGATAAAAGGGTGCTGGATGCAGACAAGGGGAGGTGATAGGAAAAGTACACCTGTTTTTTTCCCTTTCCTTATTTTGCATTTGCTTTTTCCAATAATCTGAGCTCGGGCTCTGTCCTCTAGGTCTGAGCGAGCACTGGCCGAGAGCCTTCAATCTTGCTTGCAGGGTTAGATCTTGCTTGCAGAGTTGGATCTAGCAGTGCCCTGCCCTGCCCAGGGAGACCTTACAGGCCCATCGCTTCCCCGCTATGTGTCTTAGAAAGCCAAAAACCATGCTGTAGTCCTCTGCATGAAGGGAAAAACCTGGGTTTTCTAACCCGGGTCAGGCGTGCTGCAGCTTTCACAGCCGTCAGCCCATGGGGAGTTTGCGCGGAGGCAGCTCCTTTGCTCAGAGTGGTGGTTCAAGACATGGACCTGAGCGAGGGGGTCTGGAGGAGGGCTGTGAAGATAATCGGGGGCTGGAGCACCTCCTCTATGAGGAGAGGCTGAGAGAGTTGGGGTCGTTTAGCCTAGAGAAGAGAAGGCTGCGGGGAGACCTTATAGCAGCCTACAGGAAAGATGGGGAGGGACTCTATCAAGGAGTGTAGTGATAAGACGAGGGGTAATGGCTTTAAACTGGAAGAGGGTAGATTTAGATTAGATATTACTGTGAGGGTGGTGAGACCCTGGATGCCCAGAGAAGCTGTGGGTGCCAGCTTCTTGGAATTGTTCAAGGCCAGGTTGGATGAGGCTTTGAGGAACCTGGTCTAGCAGAAGGTGTCCCTGCCCATGGCAGGGGGGTTGGAACTGGGTGGTGTTTAAGGTCCCTGTACCGGGTCTGGCTGAGATGGAGTTAATTTTCCCCATAGCAGCCCTCACAGTGCTGTGCTTCGTATTGGTAGCTAGAAAGGCGTTGATAACGCACCAGCATTTTGGCTACTGCCAAAGAGGGCTGGGGAAGCTGACACCCGGGATTTGATGGAGGAGGGATTGGACGTGGGTATCCCCTGACCAAAGCTGGTTTCCAAACTGTGGGAGACACTGTCAAACAACAGTGGGGGCCAGGAAGGTTTTCACGTCGCCACTTTCCATTCTGCTCGGTGGCTGAAGTACCATATCACTTGAAACACAAAAGCGAATTATGCTGAAAGTGCTTTTATCTTCCAAGGCATCAGTGACGTGGTGGTGCTGGTGCGTGTCGTGTTGACCTGGAACGCTGCTGAAGGCTGTGTGGCTAATCGAAACTGTTTGTCCTGCCTAACAGGCAATCTCAAGTAAGGGACGATTGTTTTTTTCTCCCCCTCCAGACATGCTGTCTGTATATTCTACCTAGTTCTCCGTGCCCTGGATACTATAGAGGATGACATGACCATCAGCTTAGATGTAAAGGTCCCGATGCTGCACGAGTTTCACTCCTATCTCTATCAACCAGAGTGGAAATACCTGGAGAGCAAGGAGAAGGACCGGCAGGTGCTCGAGGACTTCCCAACGGTAAGATGTCCATGTCCTTGCTTCAGCAGCTTTGTGTCACCTTTTTGTGCATGGTTGCTTCTCCACATTACTCCTCAGCTCGTTCAGTCCCTGGTGACTGAAGAGCTGCGTCACCTGCACGTGGGGCTGGATGCAGAGCTGGAGTGAGAAACCCAAACATTGTGCAACTCTCTACGTGAGCCAGAGATAACCTGGCTGTGGAAAAGTGCCAGCTCTTAAAAATGGCTTTTTGCCTCCCCTGTCGGAAGAGTAAATGGAGAGCAGTTTGGATTTGTTGCCCAGTGCTGTGCGTTGCATGGGTTGGGTGTCCTGTGACCCCTAACAGATAGGGAGGGGAGGAGAGCGTGTCTGGCATCTGGCTTGTGGGTGGACCGGCATTTGCGGCGGTCCTGCAGGATCTGCTTTAGAGCTACAGGAGTCTGTCCGCAGATCTGTGACGTGCACGTAAGATAAAAAGCACCCTCACTCTTAGTAACAGTATTTGCCAAAGTCTTACTGCTCTAAGGATTCTTCTAAAGGGAAGCCACAGGGAGTCTGCATCTCTACTAGCAAACTAGGCAGTATTGGAGCCTCTTCTCTGACCTGGAGGCCAATTGGGAAAGTCTGCCCATGTCCAAGCTGTTAAACTCTCAGCATCCAGGACAGCGTGGTTGCATCCCAGACTGTCCTTAAGAAGTGGTTTCTGGCCCACGCTACTTCCCAAGCTCCGCCTGGGGATTGCTTGGAGTCAGAAGCGCACCGGGGGCCACGCTAACGGCGTAGCTGTGCAGGTGATTGAGTCCACGCTCGATATTTAAGTTACTGGTGCAGATGTAGCGGTAGGGCCTTGGCTCTGTGCTGTGGGTGCTCAGGATGGCAGGCAGCAGAGCTGAAACCACGATGCTTCTGCAGGTCTCCTGCCAGGTCTCAGCCCTAGCAGGAGCAATGGGATGATGGAGCTTTGCCGTGCAGAAATGCAGCATCTCCCAGCGCCGAAGGGGAGCCCGTCTGGCCGGTTGTCCGAGAGGGGACCCATCAAGCTGACAGCAGGAGATGCTGTGGCTGGAAGGCGAGGCTGCTGAGCGGGGATACAGATCTCTGGTTTTGGTGAGGGCACAAGGATCAGCCCTTGGTGGATGCTGCAGCTTTGCTGTTGCTCACATTGATCAAGAATAGCTGGGTTTATTTTTTTAGGATTTTTTTTAAGCTCTGTTTAAGAAAAAAGTATAATAGTTCTAGTGAGGAGCATTTTGCTTTCTGAGGAAGTTCTGTTTTGTTCAGCTTTTTACCATTTACCTCTAAAAAGATGGACGTTGGTTTAGTGGTGGACTTGGTAGTGTTAGGTTAATGGTTGGACTGGATGATCTTAAAGGTCTTTTCCAACCTAAACGATTCTGTGATTTTAAATTTATTCTGCCCTTATCGGGCTTTCCCTAGCAGTGGGAATGGGATAATTGTTTGGAAAACTGAGGTGTATTGTAAATTTTGATGCTTGGCCTTGGGATAACACAGTGGCTGTGCCCTATCTGGGAGGGGCGTGTGTGCTGTAGGAGATGGCTGTGCCAGGGGATTCTTGATGTATAGTGATAGAGATATGGTAGGTATTTGGTACTTTAGAAAAGCTTTTGAGAAGGTGTTTATGGCACTTCGTTGTTCTCTCCTGGTGTGTATGTGTTATTCACTGGGGCAAGCTGAGTTCATATTCGGGTATGATTTTAATAATATTTGGTAGAGGTGTACTGACAGGTTGTGCTTTTCTGTGTAGTCGATCGAAGCCATCGAGACAGAAGCAGAGTCGATGCACTTATTTTACAGGCAGACAGAGACACGGGGCAAGGACGTGCCCACAGCCGTGGATAGAGTCAGGAGGAGAGCCTGGATCTGCTGTGGTGTCTGAGCTGTCATCGTTCAGACTGCTGTCCTTATTGGACACGCAGCCTGGCCTGGCTGTGGTTACCCACTGATGGAGAATAAAGCTCAGCACAATAAAACGTGATGCTCCACCGTTTTGGGAAGGGGAGGATGCGCTTTTTAATTTTTTTCAGTGTGAGAGCGATTGAGTCACTGAATCATGTTATTGGACATGCAGAAGAAGGATTTCACACTTTCCCTGTTGCTTGATGCCTTTCCAGTTGTGCAAAATGTGCCCTGCGGAGCCAGAGCTGGAGAGGGCTCAGGAGAACAGAGCGCCAGAAACCTCCCTTGTCTTTTTCCGCAGTTGGCACGACAGTGCTCTCACAAATTACAAAAAACCCAACTCTGTGCACCAAGTGTAGCTAGTTTTGTCCTGCAACTCCCAGATGATACCAGTCCAAGGCCACAAAGACTTTCCAAAGATATTGTTGTCTGATCTACCGCCAGAGACCATACCGTTTAGACTGAGAACAGACTGAGCCTGTGCTTTAAGGGCCTTGAAACAACTCTGGTTGTGGGAGTTGTCCTAGATCTCCAGCCAGGGTGGGATAAGAGCCTGGTAAACAATCTTTTTCTGATTTCTTAATAAACGTTGAGCTCTGCTATTTTTTCCTGACGCTGTCTTTTTTCATGGTGGTTTGTGCTGCAGATCTCCATGGAGTTCAGGAACCTGTCAAAGGTCTACCAGGACGTGATTTCGGATATCTGCCACAAGATGGGCATCGGGATGGCGGAATTCTTGGAGAAGAAAGTGGACTCTCAGCACGAGTGGGATAAGGTAAGTCAGCCTGGACAGAGGAGTGGGCTGAATGTGAGTAGGGTCCACCTTGCCTCTGTGGGAAGAGAAGACAGAGCATCCTTGTGGGAAGAGGGTTCAGCTGGATGAGAGAGGCTGTGTGGGCTGGGGAAGGTTTTGAGAGACTGCTGGTCCTGTGGGTAGCAGGAGGATGGTGTGGATTGCTGGTGTTGCCCACCAGCCCATGTTTTGGGTGGCCCATCACATCAGCTCTTCCCCTGTGCGCGGTTTATTTGGCTGCTGGAGGCAGAGTGACACTTTGGTGGGTCATTCTTGGTGCGAGGTGTTTTCTGGGCATGGGAAAGCTGAGATATCCCAGGGAGGGCCGTGAGAATGTGCAAAAAATGTACTGTCAGTTACTTCTGAGCATCATTTTTGTAAAATTCTCTGTGGCAAATAGGCAGCTCCTTGTAACTGCTCCTTTTTTCTTCTTTTTTCTGCCCCTTCCCCTCTCGGTGCCTCGCAGTATTGTCACTACGTTGCTGGGCTGGTGGGGATTGGCCTTTCCCGTCTCTTCTCTGCATCAGAGCTAGAAGATCCTATTGTCGGGCAAGACACGGAGCTGGCGAACTCCATGGGCCTCTTCCTGCAGAAAACCAACATCATCCGTGATTATCTGGAGGACCAGCTGGAGGGAAGGGAGTTCTGGCCCAGAGAGGTAAGGGAGAACACTGCCTTGGGGCAAGCATTTCTGCTGTGCCTCTTTGGGAAATGCACTAAGACTGAAGGTACTGTTGTTGCTGCTCTGATACAGTGAGTTGCATCCTCTTGTTAGAAAGGTTCCTGCTGGAATTTCCTTTGAAATCCCCAAAGCCAGGGTTTTTCCCAGCGTTTGTTGGTGTCCCTTGACAGTCTTTCGTACTTCTGTCCAAGACCTGTAATGGACGGAGCCAACCAGCCGTGCTTCCCAGGACACCTGTCTCAGGAATGTTATAGGGTGCATAGCCGAAGGTGCACAACTAAAATTGTAGCGTCTCTCATGTCCCTTTAAATCAAAGTTAACAGGAGAGACTTGACAGTCTGCTTTAATTGTATTAAGACCCTACAGTAAAGCTCTGCTGCGCGAGATCGTTACTGTTGGTTGTACATCTCCTCAGTAATAACAGTTTTGCTGATGATAGCTAAGTTCCACATCTGTCTACAGCTGTCTGGGTACAGATATGGGCACGAGTTGATGTGTCCCCACACTGCCAAGAACAAACTTGTTGGGCAGCTTTTACCCCTTCTCTGTTACGCAGGTTCTAGGAATGAGGGTGTATAGACTGGGTGAGATCTCGAGAGGTTCATAGAATCATAGAATCGTTTAGGTTGGAAAAGACCTTTAAGATCATCCAGTCCAACCAGTTACCTTGTCTGTTCCCAAAGGCAGGATCAGCTCTGCCTGTGTCTGGCAGATGCTTGTCCACTGTTCTTGAAGTCCTCTGAGAATTTTTCTCTCCTTCTCCATGTGGCTGACCTGTCTCAGAGCATTTCTTGAGGTCAGCCTGATGTGTGAGGTGTCTTTTCCTTGCCTTGCCTAGAGAAGATGTGGAGATAAGTTGTATCATAGAATCATAGAATCATCTAGGTTGGAAAAGACCT